GCGCCATGGGGACGGCGAAGGTCGTCGAAGGATGGTCTGGCGGATGGGAGGAGGCGAGGTTGAGCTGCCGCCGCCATCGCGGTATCGCCATAACACATCGAGAATCGCATTGTCTAATGAAGGGCCAGACAAGCTTGTCTGGCTTCGGAGTAGATCCTCCAGCTGATCCGTTTTATCCTCGTCCTCAAGGGTGGCATCCTGGAGGATAGGGAGGCAGATCTCGTAGTGCTCGTCGGAAACCATGATTGCGCGGTTTGGGACCGAGACGCAGCCCGTTCGGGGCAGAATCAGGCAGGTATGATGCGGTAAAGAATATGTATTGTTTGCGAATGTATGGTTTGGAGCCGGTAGCGAGGCGGCGAGGCAGCGAGTCTATGGTATGTCTTCGGTCTGGGGTGGAGCAAGTACTACGTAAGGCAGGCGACGGGCAGGCAGAGGCAGTGGCAGGCAGGGCTGAGGGTTGGCGTTGGAGTTGACGTGGGATGTCAGCCTTCGTGTACGGTAAGATATGGCGGCGGTGGACGAGGTCGAACGAGGAGGGCGTTGTGCGTGCAAGAGCAACGTCGGTATTACTAGAGAAAGGATGCGCTAGAGACTTGGTGTCCGTGTATGAGGTGCTCGACGAGTGATCGAAGGAAAGACGAACGGGATAGCGATGGGACGGGGAGCGAAGATGGTGGGCGGGACTCGATGGTTCCGTCACATGGTTTCGGAGCCAGGGGCGGAGGAGGGATTGTCTCGAGCTCCTTGTCGGGTTGAATGAGGTGGTTGATGCTTCCGTCACAAAGGAGACTTGAAGCTCGAGCTCGAGCTGTTGCCGTCAGGTCCTTGTGTGTTTGTGGTTTCCCTTCTGGCTCTGGCCTGCTTTGTTGCCGACCGTTGGAAGACGAAGAGCAAGACACGCGTGAGGGGGACGGGAGATGATGGTATGTATGGATGGTGGAGGAAACGCGGCGACAAGGTGCACATACACGTATTACTTTCCCCCTTCAGGCTTCAGCTGACGACTAGGACCAGCTGGGGAACGGGGGGGCCTGCTATGGCGCTATTGCTGTCTGTTGCTGCTGCCGTCGCTGCTGCAGCGGAAGAGGTACGGATGAGTGGGTGGAGGATAGGCAACGCAGGCAGGTATCTCTTTGGGGTGCGTGCGTGGTGCCCGCTGCTGAGGAAGAGGTGCTGCTGCGGTGCTAGGTGGTGCTGGCAATATAAGTAATTACCTTCCATTGGGGAGCTACACTGACCGACTGCTGTGGACAGTGGAGGAAGGGATGATGCAGCGGCGCCAGCAATAGCAACACCAGCAGGCCGCCAACAGCTCCCGGGGGTCGGGGTACTGGGGGCCCGGTGTCAGTGAAATCAAAGCCCAGCGGTACGTATCCCCTGAGGTGCCTCCAGACATCCAATCCGAAGCGCAGGGCGGGGAGCGCCCCAGCTGGCCGTCCAGTGAGCGATCAAGGTTGGAGCGTGGGGTCGCTCCCTCCACTGCGGTGGCCCCTCTCTCAGACTTACCACCTCATTAAAGGGAACGGGCAGTTCGCCGGGTCTGGCCCAGGTTGGCTCAGATCTCCCCTTTTCCACGTCTCCTGGCTCGAAGGGAACATGACAGTTGACTGCCAAACTGCGTGACTGCGCAGGCCAGGCACGCAAAGCTCAAGCCCGCGGAGTCGAAGACGAGAACACGAAAAACAAACAACCCTCGGTTCAAGATTTGGAGCCTTTGGATGAACTCATCTGATTGGGCCACCTGCAGCAACACTACCGCAGAACAAGGCGACCAGCTAGGCGCCTTGAACCATGACAATGGGTGCGAGCTGAGAGACGCCGAAACCAAGGCTGCGAGTTGCAGGTTTTCTTTCACCGAGAATCTGTTAGAAGGAAGGCCATTATCTTTTCACCTGCACTCCCAGCCAGTCACTGTGCACCCCTTATGCCATCTCATAGCACACCAACCCATTTTTATATCGTGTCCCACAGAGTGTGATGGCTGATACTTGCCGCAGTGGTAAGACCATGTGACCTCTGGTTGGATGATCTTCGTCCAATCTACCTACTGATAGTGACACTAACCTCAGCCCCGGATTTCACACGTGTATTGATGGTAGTGTCTTGATTAATCGGGAACACCATAGAGCTCTGTCACCCGTCAACGTGCAAGTATCAGAAATCAGTACCGCTTTTGATGTTCGGCTAACCAGTAACCTTATGCCTCTGTTTGAATTGTAGAGACGCACGGCGGCTCCTCAGCGAGCACGTTGCGTCCGCAATTCCTCCCTCATGGCACTTCATCGTCATCCAAGTCACCGCCGAATCCGAAGCTGAAGCCTCCCCTGCCGCTTGCTTCGGTATCATGTACACCCACAGCCTCTTCCCACTTTCTCTTCTTCTGGCTGGTCTTCTTGTCCAAGTTTCGCATGGCATCTTCCAGCAGCTCTGGCTGGTCCAGGCGTAGCCGCTCGACAAACAGACCATACGGGTCCGTTACTTCCTGCTTAAAGCCCGTGACTTGGTCTGCCTTGTCTCTCAAGAAGCTCAAGACTTCTGTGAGCTGGTACAGAGAGGTGGATTTGGGCACAAAATTCTGTGTTAGTGCGATGCCGTTCTCCACGTTGACGACCAAATGCCACCATCCGCTTGGTACATGCAAGATCTCGCCTTGCCTGCAAATGCCTTCAATGCAGCCTGGCTGCTGGCGCGCCTCATCATGAAACTCAAGGAGCCACTCAGCGATGCTGAGCGGGCTCGTCACTTCGCTGCTGTCGCTTGAAACGTAGACTCCTGGAACCTGTGCGGTAGGCGGGAACATGATCCAGTACTTGGTTCCCTGGATAACAGCGTTCCACGCGCTGGTGCCGTTAGGGTCTTTGTGAAAGGTTGATCCGCTCCTCTCGGGTCCGATGATGAGCCAGCGGTGGGCAGGCCGCTCCTTGCCAAGCAGTTCGAACAAGTCAGGCCCAAAGCACTCCGGCTTCCAATACGCCGCGCCTTCCTCATGGCCAACCTTGATTCCCATTTTCTCGGCAAACTTCTTGTCGAAGAGGTAAAGAGGGCTCTCGTCATTGCTGTTCTTCATGTATTCGTGGTACGTCCAGAAAGGCCAGTCAACTGCCTCGGCGCGAAACTCGACATCCTTGTACTTTTGCAGAATGACATCTATGGTCCACTCATGACATACAGGCCATGTCTGAATGTAGCTGGTCAGAATAAACGGCACCTCAGTCCATTCCTGAGCAAACTGCTCGTAAGTCAGTGTTTCCATACGCTGGATCTGATTACTCTTTGGAATCCTCGAGGTGAACTGCGTCAGGTCCACATGGCTGCACACAAAGGGCCTATGCAGGACATCTGAGAAGACGTTACTGCAATCAATCTTGCATCGTTTCTCAGGTGACAGTCCAAGTTGAGTCGACCTCCAGGTGCCTTGCCACTTGCCGTCGAATCTGCCCGAATTGTGGGACCTAACCACCTGTTAGCCGGACCTTATTCACAACCAGGATGCTGTCAGCCAGAACACATCAGATGCGGCCATTCGGGTGGTCATTGTCCTTCCCATATTCAAAGTCATATGTGACCCCCATGACCACACTACCAGGCATAATAAATAATTGATGACCAAAAGCTCTCAGCGCCCTGTAGTCCCAAACTTGATAATAAGGTGCCACCATTTATACTTTCGTAGAGGGCTGGCTAACAGCGAGTTGTGCCATGGACTTACTCGAGGAAAAGAGCCTTCCATAACTCGTCGGACTGGCAGAAGGCATAAAGAAACTTGCTGGTGTATCCGAGATTTCTCAAATTGCTTTGGTCAAGGTATTCCAGCAATATCATGAGAGCCTCATCGGGCAAGATTGTGAAGACTCCGATGTGTTTCCGAGCGTTCGGACGGTCCGAGAGATATTGGTTGCCCAGCGGTTTCACACCCAAAGGATGAGTTGGAATTGACTCAGAGGTCATGACTGCATCCGCGAGAGGCTTTGAGTCATAGCCATGACCGTTGGTGTCAGCGTTGCCGATGATCCTGTCATTGGACGAAAGTCCCTGGGTCGACACAAGGTTGTCGTTGGCCATGTTTCCTGCTGTAGGAGAAAGGTAGGAACAATAGCATGTGCCTGCTGCTAATAAAGCAAGCTAGACAGGCAGGTAGATCCTGCGGCGGGCGACGTTGGAGAAACTAAACGCAAGCAGATGGGCTGAAGAATGGGGGGGAAGTAAAGAGGCAGTGACAACGGAGAAAGAGACATGCGCTGCAAAACCTGCACCAGGAATCATGTCACTGGGCTAGCATCGCAGGCGCTGGTGGTACGAGTGGCGGGCACATGCTCCGGTAGAGATGTCTAGACGATTCAATTAATGCATGAAGATGCCTAGATGAAATTTTTGGGCAGGCATCCCGCCACACTGCGTCTGGGGGGCGGGACGCAGAAAAAAAAAAAAAAAAAAAAAAGTCAGAAGCCAGCCAGTCGTCCAGTTGCCGCCCTTGGTGCTCTGCAGTAGCTATCTCCGGTGTTCCCAGCGCGGCTCTCAACCAGTCCCAGGTGCCACCTTGGGCACTTCAGCCCATTCACTACGGTGGGCGTGCCCTAATCATGCCGCAGTGCAGCTATGGAGGGTACCAGCCTGCCCGCCAACTCCGTTAGCGCCACCTCGCTTACCGCATAATTCGAGGGGCCGCCCGCCAGGAAATTTTTTACGTGGTCGAGAATTCTGGCAGCTCGCTGATAAAAACTTCACCTCCCACCGAACAATCAACGTGCACCATCACCCCACGAACAACCAAACGCACTTTATTCCTAGATTCAGTTTCGCTCTTGCTTATCGCCAAGAGCATCTAATCTAGAAGAGAATTTAATTCTTAGACTTCGCTTCGTCTACATAATTCGCACGCTCCAACGAGACGTTTGCGAATTTTCCAGCCCCTCGCCCAACCCCACCTTCGCGACGATATTTCTAGGTCCCAAGCTGTGCTTGTGATCTAGATCTCTTCCAAAAACAACACCGCAATCATGGCTGACAAGGGTCTTGAGGACGTGCCTGAGGGTAAGTGATGCGACAGTTTTCTTCACCATCGTTACCCGTCGCAGCGAGCCATCCCTGCGAATTTTGACGCTTGCCCCCCAACACGACCACGGCCTCTTCCCCTCCTCTCTCGCATGTAGCGCATTCCAAGAGACTTCAAGTCGCTAACAACAATCTTCTTCGCAGGCCAGATCGAGTCCAACTATGACCAGACCGTTGACTCCTTCGACGACATGGACCTGAAGTCGGAACTCCTCCGTGGTATGTTTCTCGCGCGCCCAAAATTGGGTCGAGATACCCTCACCGATCGACAATTTGCTGACATCGCCTGTGCCAGGTGTCTACGCCTACGGTTTCGAGCGTCCCTCTGCCATCCAGCAGCGTGCCATCATGCCCGTCATCAAGGGTATGTCACTTCGCCTACTGGTGCGCCGTAAACTCTGCTCACTCCATGCCCAGGTCACGATGTCATTGCCCAGGCTCAGTCCGGTACTGGCAAGACTGCCACCTTCTCCATCTCCGTCCTCCAGAAGATCGACTCCAACGTCAAGCAGTGCCAGGCCCTCATCCTCGCCCCCACCCGTGAGCTTGCTCAGCAGATCCAGAAGGTCGTCGTTGCCATCGGCGACTTCATGAACATTGAGTGCCACGCTTGCATTGGTGGCACCAGCGTTCGCGACGACATGAAGGCCCTCCAGGACGGTCCCCAGGTCGTCGTCGGTACCCCTGGCCGTGTTCACGACATGATCCAGCGCCGCTTCCTCAAGACCGACGGCATGAAGATGTTCGTCCTCGACGAGGCCGACGAGATGCTTTCCGTATGTTTCTTACAAATACTATCGTGGGAAAAAATTTGCCTGCTGACACTCCAGTGTAGCGTGGTTTCACCGAGCAGATCTACGACATCTTCCAGCTCCTCCCCCAGAGCACCCAGGTCGTTCTTCTGTCCGCCACCATGCCCCAGGACGTTCTTGAGGTTACCACCAAGTTCATGCGCGACCCCGTCCGCATTCTCGTCAAGAAGGACGAGCTTACCCTCGAAGGTATCAAGCAGTTCTACATCGCCGTCGAGAAGGAGGAGTGGAAGCTCGACACCCTTTCCGACTTGTACGAGACCGTCACCATCACCCAGGCCGTCATCTTCTGCAACACCCGCAGGAAGGTCGACTGGCTCACCGACAAGCTCACTGCCCGTGACTTCACCGTCTCTGCTATGCACGGTGACATGGACCAGGCTCAGCGTGACCTGATTATGAAGGAGTTCCGTTCCGGTTCTTCTCGTGTCCTGATTGCCACTGACCTTCTGGCCCGTGGTATCGATGTCCAGCAGGTTTCCCTGGTCATCAACTACGACCTTCCCGCCAACCGTGAGAACTACATTCACCGTATCGGTCGTGGTGGTCGTTTCGGTCGCAAGGGTGTTGCCATCAACTTCGTTACCGCCGAGGACGTCCGCATGATGAGAGAGATTGAGCAGTTCTACAGCACCCAGATTGAGGAGATGCCCATGAACGTTGCCGACCTCATCTAAGTTACGCTTCACGGGATACGACTACTCTCTTTTCACGAACTAAGCCCTTGGGTCTGCCGATCGATCACGCACGGATCTGGCATACCAGTTGGGGGCGTTTACTCGAGATTCATCAGGACTTTGTTTGTTGATAGATTGCGGAAGGCTACCTAACGAGTCACTGGGCGCGGTTGGCTTCTTTGGTTGGTTGCACGCCGCGCCCCGGCTCATGGGTGGGATTGAAAACTGGCTTGCATGTGGAGGGCTCACGAGTCTATTGGCACCTTAATACCACGAAGGTGCGGCGGACTGGTACCTAAAAGAATCATTTGGCAGGGTTCTAGTTTTTGACTTTCAGTTTCCTAGTGTCTCTCTGTACGTAGGGGCCTCGTCACGATGAATCTGCATTTAAAATACGCTGCCGTCTCCGCATGGTGAACTTCGTCTGAAATGTGGCCCATCTCTCCACCAAGCCTACATGTCCCCCATCCATCGTTGCCTTCTCGAAAGGCCAGTGTGAAGGAAGCGGGGTGAGCATGCACGAGGCTGGATACTTGGGAGTGGCAGGGTGACTTCTACCCAGCCGAGATGGAGAATCGGCCTCTATTCGTTCCACCATACAGGCTTGCAAGTGGCCGAGCCGTTTACACGACGTGCATTGAGACAACATGGGTTCGTTGTGGAAGCCAGGGCTGACGGCGGCCCTTATCGTCACACTTCAGCCTACCTAGCCAGCCAGAAGCCAGCGAGGCCCACGGAGCACGGAGATAGAGAGACTGGAGATGAGGGGAGGCTGGGTGAAAGCGCCACGTGGGCGGGCCACAGCACACGGAGCTCGATGTGTTGTACGGAGCTCGATGTGTTGTCCGTACCTAGCGATTCACAACCATTTATGGTGTTTTGCTCCACGCCAGCCTTAGACAGTTTTCTACTGCCTTGCGGTTGCGCTCGTACTACAACACGGCTCTAATAAGATTACTGCGTTTAAAGGTTCACACAAGATCTAATCAAGTCGCTAGGGTGGGAGGTGAACTACGAAGACGAACAGAATAAGAAAAGAAAAAGAAAAACTACTAATAAGAAAAAAGCTCACAAAAAATTGGTAGCTTCTCTTTGATTGAGCGTGTCATCCTTAGTGCAGGGGCCATGCTACTGTGAGTTTGTTAGTGACCGCACCCAGACTCGAACGTGGGACCTCTGGGTTTGCTTACATCTTCTCTGTATCGTTTCAAATTGACCAAATGCCCGAAGGCGAAAACGGCGGTTTTTTCCCGACTTATGAAGGGTCTCCCCTGACTGGCTAGGGCGGGGAGCAAAGAGGGGCTCGCCTGCTGAACCCTCAGGCCAGCAGAGCGAGGACCCCTCAACACAAACGCCGTATTTTTTTTTTGGTGGGGGATCGACTGACAGCGCCTTTACCCCGCCAAAAGCGCACCAACGGAGCGACGGCGAAAAATTGAAGCCATCATCAATCTCGGAGAGAGATGCATTTCCTTGAGCGCGCGACTGCGAGAGCTTGAAGGGGCGGGGGAGATCAGCTTTACCTGCAGCGACAACTTCCCTTCCTTGCCGCGAGAAAGAACACGCACACACGAGGCCGCGACGTCGCCGTCAACAATTTTTTTTTTTTAATTGTTTTCGCCCTGAGACTGCGATCAGGGTTTCGAGTGAGTGGATGGGAAAGGGGGAAAAGTTTCAAAAAAGCTGCCACCCGGTTTTTTTCGGTTTGCCCTTTCTTTCCTGGTACATGCCCATCCCCCCCTCTCTCCCGCCGTCCGTCCCTCGCCTCCCTCCCCCCCCCCCTCTGCTGCGTTCCCTGGACCTCCAAGACCCCCTTTTCTGTTTCGTTTCGTTTTGGGCAGTTCGTTAGGGTTGCAAGGAAGTGGAACGAAGTTTGGATGAAATTACAACGAATATGCAATTATCGAGACGCCTCGGATGACAGGGGGGCGTGTGGGCGTGAATTCGGGGCGTCGCACCCATGTCGTCACTGGCTTGCTGACTTACACATGGATGCTAGTATGCAAGTGACTACCTCCCGCAATGTACAAGTTTGAATGAATCTGAATATTAGCTCTCCGTTCCGGCGGGTTAGAAACCGAGGTTAGATGTGGGGATCTGTTGTGCTGCGCTGCGAGTGGTATGTGAAATTGTCCTAGATACTCAACGTAGGCCAAATGTTGGATAACACAGCCTTGATATGGCCATTCAAAAAACATATCATCTACTTGGGTACTTAGCTTCCCGTCTACGAGCCACATATAATTCGTTTGAGCTCCTATCATCCTGGAATATGACTGGTTTTTGACACCTGCTATCTTGAACAATAATGTTCGGAAGATTTCAGCTACGAGTACATTAGGAAAACTGTGACCCACGCAAGTCATACGCAAGATTTACAGACATCCAAGAATTCGAAATGAACGGGCCATCTTAAAGACGCACGGTGGTTCCGCGTGATATAATGTTGGGCCGCAGGAGAAAGGATCTCGGGTCGTTTCCGATGCTGCATGAGCAGAAATGAAGAATCCGAAACTCAGTATGCTCAGCTAGACATACACGATGAGGTTAAAGTCTCTTTTACAAGATGTAAGTGCATATATTTACCATCGGAAAGTGATGAAATGACTTAGACATTGGTGTCTATCGTCCGGGTTGCTAGCGTTCAGATGTGATGTGTGCACGTTGCGCTATAGGGAGTTTTGTTTTTTGAGATTCAGTTCAACTGAATCCCGCCAGAAGGTATACTGATTATTGTAACATGCCATGAACGTTCGGTGTACCTTTTGTACCAAGCCCTGTCAAGAATCAATTTCAGGTTCAATCCACAGGCCCTGGTTCGTTAGGGAAGTGAACAGAAAAGGAAACGGGAAAGGGAAAACAAGAAGCTTGGTTTGATCATCATAGATCAAGAACTCTATGCCTCGAAAGATTCACACACGATTACTTTGATTTGCTGCTAGGCCAAAGACGGTTCCTGGAAATGTTTGCCAGGAAATGATAGTTCCAACGAGTAGCCTCACTGCTAGGAAAGGTGAGATGAGGGGGGCATTACACAGGATGGTCGATAAGTAGAAGAAAACAATGTTTCTTGAAACTGCCATAGGTTTCGTTATCTCTCAATCATGCTTCCTTATCACTTCGACGCATTCGAAACCTTTCGTCCTAACACCAGCTTATGCCAACTAGCGACGACCGGCAGACTCGACCCGCCCCAACTCCAAATCACCCACACCGTAACAACGCTTGCGCCAGCCACTCGTTATTTATTTCATCTTTCTGATGGAAGATGTAGTTGGCTATGCCGTCGCAACCATATATAACTCCGGGCCCCTTCATGAGATTGGGAACCACTCAGTGTGACATGTGTGAGGGCTAGCCTTCTAAGCTCCACTAGCCAAGTTCTTCTCCAATACCTCCGGGGGAGGGAGGAACTCAGGACCAAATGAGAGCGGGAGAAGCTAAGATTGGGTCAGGAAGTATTCAATTTCATCATCCCGAATCATGGCGGGGAAAGCATACCTGCTGGAGCCTCATAACGACATACTTGCCGTTCTTGTTGAACATGAGGATGGGGGTCTCAAGATCAACGAACTCACGAATGCTGTTGAAACGTATTAGTCTGCGGCCGACTACCAAAAACCCACATGGCTGGATGGAGGCTTCAAGAAACAAAGGACTCACAACTGTCTGCACATGCCGCATGGGCTGCAGGGGGCATCGACGTCGGTGGCAACAGCAACAGCCTTGAAGCCCCGGGTACCCTCTGTAATGGCCTTGCCAAAAGCTACTCTCTCGGCGCAAGTACCGACTGGGTACGACGCATTCTCGACGTTCGCTCCATCGGTATATCTGTCGTCGTTGGACAACAGGGTTGCGCCGACGCGGAACTTGCTGTACGGGCAGTAAGCCGTCGCCTTGGCCGCGGTTGCCCTCTTCTCCAGCTCCTTCACCTGGTCAGGCGTCAGGCCGTACTTCTTGGCCGTGTCCACCGTCTGAGAGTCATTGGCAATATCGAAAACTTCCGGAGTGAACGACATGATGAAATTCGAGAAAGGGGAAGAAAGGAAAGGAAGAAGAGGGAAGGGATGAGGTTGCGGGAAGGGTGGGGTTGATAAGACTCTGGATGATGTGCAGTTGGTCTAAGATGCTAAGAGTCCGTGTGAGCTTGGCTGATGTTCGGGTGCGATGGCTTAACGAACGGGTCCACGGGTGCTAGAGCGAAGGTGTGTTGGGGCAGTCACTTGGTGGGACACCTTCTGAAAGCTACCACTGGAATGTTCCATTTATGGGGGTCTGTACCCCGCGGCCGTCTCCGACATCCGTTTGCGTTTGCCAAAGTTCAATCATGTTTGCTATCAATTTTGGAACCGGAACCCGCAACGAAGCGATACAACGAAACCCCATCTCACCAACCATCGCAGATGCCCGTCAAGACTTCCTGCCTTCTTGGGCAACCTACATTCCCGGGTGATGGCACCGGATTGGACGGGCAATTCCCCATATGACCAACCACACAGTTCTCGGCGCCTCTGGAGCGAGTACCCCGCAGTCCGTTCATTCCTCATGGCCTAAAGATTACGGGTGGGCTTTGCCGATGGGAATCGTAAGCGGGTTCATGGCACTAGGGATCCAGCAATCCGTGAGCTAATGGCCTTGATCACGGGGTGCGCCTCGCGCAGTGGGATGCCCGCGCGGAGGCTTGTCGCTCGGGGTTGGACTTACGACGCGCCGCCGTCGACAACCAGGTTTGCTCCCGTGATATAGGAGCTGAAGCCCGATGCGAGGAATCCGGCTACTCGTGCCACTTCTTGTGGATTGCCTGGCCTTTCCAGACCTATGGTGGCCTTTGAAGCCTGCGGAGCCTCAGTCATTAGTTGTTATGTTGACATCAGGATGTCAACTCACTTCTTGGGTCTGGAGGCTTGCAGGGGGGAACTGGGAGTTCATCCCCTTGAGATCGATCTGTCAAATTCGTCAGCACATTCTTGTCGACCACAAAGTGCCCATTCGTACCCCGT